TTTTATATTCAGCGCGCCCAGTCCAGCATTCACATCCATAGAGGAGGACTGACTGGGTGGATGCACGGTATATACGAATCTTCGTGGCGATGGAGATGTCGCGTCGGATCCATAGGCGCTTTCGAAGGATTGAGAAAACCCAACGAGCAGCATCGATACGGGAGACAATACCGCCCTTGCTCTGCCCATTCGGTAGCAGCCTCGCCCTGAGGTATTTAAAGCTTCTTCTTCAAGTTGATGGCCAGTAATCCTCAGGGGTGCCCTCTGTTGGTCAGGGATGCAGCTCGAGAATAACTTCCTCTTTCCAGAATTTATGGACATGCCCACCGACATAGCGATCTCATTTACCCGCGACCCTACAGACTGTAGACCACCAAAGACTGAGGAAAGCAGCGCAATATCATCGGCGTAGTCAAGATCAGTTAGTCGGCGTCCGGGTGCAAGTTCAACACCGTCCTCTTCATGTAGGGCCTTGCCGAGAACCCAGTCAATGACGTAGTTAAACAGAATGGATATCTAACGGTAGGGGGAGATTATTGTGGATCAGCACTCGTGCGGTGGTGGACCGCTAGTAGGCCTTAATCATGGCAATGATTTTAGTTGGCATTCCATATAGTTCCATTATTCGTCACAGGGACTCACAATGGATGGAATCGAATGCGGCGAAGTCGACAAAGCAGACGGTCGTTGGTTGCTGTTAGCTATAGCGGAATTCTAGAATGCGCCTCAGCGTAAACATCTGATCCGCACATCTACGCCCAGCACGGAATCCGGCTTTGGTGGGCCGTGTCCTGGAGTCACGTAAAGACTGGAAGTACGTGAGAAGAACAATAGCGAAGACAATTGCAGCAACGTTGATAAGACTTATGCCGTGGTAGTTTTCGCATTTTGTCTTATATCCCCTTCTATGGACAGGTACAAGGATGCCTGAGCCCCAGTCATCGGGAACGGCCTCTTCTCGCCACGCCTGTACAATCACCGCATGAAGCCGATGAGCCAGGGTGTCGACACAGGACTTGTAGATTTCTGCGGAAATACCGTACTCTCTGCACGCCTTGTTGGTACGCAACCTCTGCATTGCATCAGCCACTTCGTCTTCGGAAGGGGAGTCACACGACACTGCGTAGGCAGGAGAGGGTTGAATCTCCGCTGTGGAGGAGGGGGAAGATGTGATGGGTTGTTCATCAAAGTTGTGGAGGTGCTTGAAGTGTTCACGCCAGTGATCGACCTTGGCCGAATTGTCAGCAATAAACCCGTCATTCACATCGCGAACAGAATCACAGAGTGTCGAGGGCTTACCACTAGCCTGGCGGATGACGTTTTACAATTTTCG